AGCTGATGGGATATATTCCCCCACCACGTCTTTGGAAGCCTTGAGGGGTGTCCTTGCTATTCATGCTGTCAGAGGTGGCACCTTGTTGTCAGCAGATGTGAGCGTTGCCTTCATGCAAGCGCCTGTGCAGGGAGTAGAGTGTATCCGGTTTCCGAATGGGATGTATGATGAGGAGAACAAGCCACTGTTTGCGCAGCTACACAAAGCCATGAATGGCTTGAGAGTAGGGCCACTGAGCTGGTACCTAGAGTTTACAAGCACGCTGCGTAAGCAGTTTGGGTTTGGTGAGACTGCCGACCCTACTGTGCATCACCGGCTTGAGAAGGATGGTGCGCTGACCTTGGTGTTAGTGTATGTTGACGATCTCATCATCTTTTCCCAGAATCCGCCAGTTGCCAAGGATCTGTACGCTAAGCTAGCGAAGATCTATAAAATGAAGCAGACAGGGCTTCTAGAACCTGGCAAGACTGGGCAGCTCGAGTTCTTGGGTCGAGTGATCGCCCGAACCACTGAGCACGGGCCTGTGTTCTTTGGCCTGAAGCCGGGGTACTTGAAGTCGCTTGGAGAAGAGTTTGGCATTAGCGGAAAAGGTGTGAAACCAGTGCTGGGAAACCTCGAGAGGGAGTACCGGAAGAAGGAGGCTGGAACACCTATCAGCACTGAGGCGTATGAACGCTATAGACGTGTGCTTGGTAAGTTGATGTGGGCAAGCCTGACGTTGCCGCATTTGTCCTACCCGGTAGGATTTCTGGGCCGGTATCAGAGTGACCCAGATAGCCAGGCAGAAGCTTGCTTGAGACGCGTGGTTCGCTGGGTGATGGCTTTGCCTGAGTACCTTCAGCGATTTTCGGCAGAAGCGTTTGAGTATCCTTGCTGCGCTTCGGAAACCATGCTCTCTGGCTTTGTGGATGCGTCATGGAACATTTGCTCTGTGTCTGGTGCTATCGTGAAGTGGCATGGCATCATGATCAAAACTTTCTCGCGGAAACAGTCGGTGACCGCGTTGAGTTCGGCGGAGGCCGAATTGGCAGCCCTGACTGAGGCAGCCAAAGAGTCGGTGTACTTGTCTTTGCTCATGGAAACGCTCCTGTATGGAATGCCCAAAGGAGAGACCGGTGAGTTTCCGATTCACCTGGCTTCGGATTCGGAAGCCGCTTTGTCGATTAGCAAAATGACGGGGTTGTTACGCCGTGTTCGGCACCTGGAGCTTCGTCATCGCTATCTTCAAGAGCTAGTCCACCTGGAAAGGCTGATTCTAAGCTTCATCAGTGGAGAACGGAATCCAGCCGATGGACTGACGAAATCTCCTGAGGAGTTGTTGCTTGAGCATTTGCTGGTTGCGTGTGGACTGGAAAGAGTGTGTGAAGAAGACCTTCAGGGTCTTGTAGTTCCTGAACACCTTCGTGAACGAATGGAAGAACTTGAAGAAGTATGTGAAAAGCTTGAGAAAATCCCGACAAACCTGGCGAAGTACGAGCCAGTGGCAAGAGACCTTGCGTTGGGATCTGTTCCTCTGCTTGTGATCGAGGTGTTTTGTTCAACGGACAGTGCGTTGTGCCGAGCGTGTGCTCGTGACCGAGTAGCATATATAGGCATAACTGAGAAAGAAGACTTCTTAAGCAAGAGTACTCAAATGTTTCTAGGAGAGGTCTTGCTGTGTCTGTTGAGTAGGAAACCGCCCCAGATCTATGTCCACATAGCTTCCCCGTGTACCGCTGGATGTAGCTACCGCTTTAAGAACTGGCATCGACCGAAGTTTCGACATCGGTGGCGAGAGCAGGTCAAGAAGCATGTTGCATCTTGGAAAGCTTTAGGACGACTTCTGGAGGACCGCTGCAAAGAGATCCTGGTTACCCAGGAATGGCCAAAGAACTGTGGTCTTTGGAAGGAGGAAAGTTATCTGAAAGAAAAGAAGCGCCTTGGTCTGAACTTTGGAAGGGTTGTGGACCGTTGTGCCTTCGACGGGGTCTTTAAGCGGTGGTTCTTTGCTACAAACCGAGAGGAGTGGAGTGAAATCTTCTCTGGAAAGCCCTGTGACAAAAGTCATCAGCATGTTTCACTTGCTAGTGTCGAAGAAACAGGTATCTATCCGACTAAACTGGGTAGAGCTCTTTTGCGTGCTGCGAAAGTCACGTTAGGTCTTGTAGGAACACCTTCTTAGGTCGGCAGTAGGAGTGCTCGCTTTCGGACTTTGCCTGGGATGAGATGTTTAAGCACTGGAAACACCGAGCTGTGAAGAAGTGCGTGGCTCTGAGGCATCACAGTCCAAGCGGGGGTGTGAAAGTTCCTGTCTAAGGACATGTTAACTTTGTTGTCCTGCATGCTGGCTCAGAGTTGTGTGTGTGTAGTTGTAGGAACTCCGTAGTTGTGCCTTGGAGGCTCGACGGGAGTGCTGCTTTAAGTGGGAAAGCCTTTTGAAGTGCTTGAGTTGTAGGGATGTGTGTCTGGAAGCTGTAGAAGTGACTGTGCACGTTTTTGCTTGCTTTAGGTGTAGTTGGGTAGGTCCCGAGAACTCCCACTGACGTTTGAGTTTGTTTTGTGGCTGTGGAGAACACGTGGCAGAGCAGAGTTTTCACCTGTGTGTAAAGAGTTTCACTGACGAAGCCTCCGGCTTATGACTTTGGCTCAAGTCGTGAGAAAAAGAGGGTTCAGCGCGCTGCTGCTGTGTTTTCACAAAGAAGGGGCTTCGAAGGCTTTGAAGGTAAGAGATGGGGGCATCTTCAGAAGGGTTCAGCAGTTGCGCCACGTTCAACAGCATGGCAACGCTTTTACACTGTGTGTGGTCTCTTGCCAGAAAACTTAAACCTGCTGGATAGACACGATTTTTTCGATAACATAAAGACTCACACCGAAAAACAATGAAACAAGGTTCTCTTGAACATTTCTTGTCTTGAAGATAAGAGAGAAAGAATTCCCTTCGCGCTGAAGGTCTGAAGCCCCCCTTCGGCTTATGAGACGCGAAGGGGTCTTCGAAGGCTCAAAGCTTCGAAGAGAGGACGAAGCCCCTTCGAGCCTTTGATCTTCGTCTTCACCTTCAACCTTCGAAGCCTCTCCCTTCGTCCTTGCCTTCGAAGCCTTCGAAGCCCTTCCATTGAAGCCTTCAAAGCTTTTTCTCATTCTTCGAAACTTAAAGCAGACTCTGGAGATGCCCCCTTCGAAGCCCCTTCGTCCTCACCCTTCGAAGCCCCCCCCCTCTTTGTTGCCTTTGGACCTCGGCTTCTTGTTACCTTCGAAGTCTGCTTCTGCCGCTTCTGCCCCGGCCTCGTCTCAGGTTGTTGCGCAGGCTCTCTTCCGCCGAGCTTTGCGACCTGCCCGCAAGGTGCTGTTCCTTGAAGCCGGGCGCGCCCTCCGCCTCGGCGCTGCTGCCATTGTTGCAGCTGGTTTCAGTGATCTCAGTTTGGATCACGTTCGTTGTTCCGAAGCTGCATCTGCGGTGGAGCTTTCCACCACGCTGGATGATTTGGGTGATTCGATGCCCTGCAACCAAGAAGGCAGCGGGCTCTGCTCAAGTGTCGGCAAGGCTCGGCTCGAAGAAGAAGTTGCCCAGACCTGGCACAAACGTGGAGTGCCGACCAAGAGGAAGCTCGCGTCTGGGGCAGCCTTGTCAAGAGACCCTATGGGGATGACACCGGCCAGAGGTACGGCACCCACATTGCGAACACCAAGTACCTCGGACAGATCAAGATTGCCAGCTGGTTCCTATCAACCTCGGCAGCCAAAGGACCGCCGCCACCAAGGCCGGTGGGCTGGGTCACCTGGTGGGCCTCCACCACAACTCCGGTGGGGCCAGCAACTGCGGGCATGGAACTTGGTATCCAAGGCCCTTCGTGCCATCGGAGAAGCTCAGCTGGCCTTGAGGATTGGAAGTGTGGGCTAACTCCAATGTGGGCCCAAAGGTGGGCATTACAGGATTGGCTGAGAGCCCTCATGGACCAGGCTGAGAGCCGAGGTATTCACCCGGCTGATGTGGCAAGGCGTATTGTGGGCATGCTACGTGGCAGAGATGCAGTGCCACAGCAATTGCCGTTCGCAGCCGAGGTGGCCCGAGAGATGCTCAGGCCATTTCACTTGCAGATGGCTCCTGTTCAGGTATGGCTGAAGTTCCCGACGACACCTGACCCGGGAGCTGCGTACGTGGGAAAGGGACCCTGGATCTGGCACTTTTCAGCTGGACAAATACTTCTGCATTGCAAACACTGTGTACACAGTTGAAACTGGTCTTAACACCTGGTCTTTCAGTTTTGTTGGGCTCAGCTTGCTGCCTGGATGGTTTTCGATGGCTGAGTGCCTTGTGTGTCTTGCAGGCGATTGCGCTTTTCTGCGGGTATTCTGGGCAACGTTGTGTCCGTGGACACCAGAGGCCTGTATACAGTCCTTGGCTGTGTTTGGTGCGAGGTTATTGAATGGTCAGGACACCAGCAAGATGCGGGCTGGATCCTCATTGCACGGCTGGTCACTCGGTCACAGGACAACCATGAGTCCACGCGATCGGGCTGCTGCAGGTCACAAGGACCGCAACAAGATACCCCTCTTCAAGGGCGACTTGCATGCCTTGGATGAGACCTGATGGGATGTGGCTTATGTTTAAATCTCCTCACCTTTTCTGGTACCTCATCTCTGCCTTGTGGAGGAATTCCCATGTGAAGTGGGACGGTTCGCATGTGGGTGGGCTGCTGCAGGCGACGACGCCTACGCCATATGACCAGGGCGCGGCCAGTTAGTCGGGCTTGTCGCAGGACACAGACGCAGAGCAAATACCTCTTCGTGCGGTCTTGTCAACTGTTCGTCATGCTGATGTGGCATTTCAGTACTTGGTGGATCGACTTTTGGCGCAGCCTTTTCCTTATCGTGTCATTCTATCCCGAGACTGTACTCCATATGCCGACGTCATCCAGGCGCGAACAGCAATTCATGTCTTTGTCCGATCTAAATCAACATTTTGTGCTGTCCTACCTCCTGGACGTATACAAAGTTCGAGTCATGTCGGTCCCAAGTCCGACATGGGTCCCTGTCCAGCTACGGGTCGAGGATCACTTCGGTGGTTCCTGTGGCTCTTTCTTTGGTGGTGGATTGTGGTGGGGGCCCAAGGAGCGAGGGTTGTCGGATCTTCCGTCGATCCGGCGGGAGCAAGTTCACTTGCTGTGACAGGCTCCGAGATGGTTGCAAAGCCAGACGGAAAGCGTGTTATGAAGTCAGTGGCCCAGAAGCGTGCCTATCGTCGTGCATGTCTTCGGGCGACACGAGCTGGTCCCAATGGGGCCACGTGGTATCGAGGCAAATGGATGACTGCCAGGGCCTTGCAGGCTCAAAAGATTTCTTCAGCTGGGGTGTCCTTCACTAGCCAAGCGAGCAGAAAGCCAATCAAGGTTCCACAACTTCAACTTCCGAGGTGGCCGCCTCGGACAGGCGCCGAATGTCTTCATGAAGAAATGCCTCCCCGAAAAGCCGGCTCGGTTAATATCCTGAGTGTTAATCTGGGGGGCATCACATTGGAGCTATACGATGAATTCTGCCGATGGTTGGAGACAGAGACCACCATAGCCAATATAGACATCATCTGTGTGCAAGAAACCTGGAGGCTCACAAGTGATTACATTCTTCCGCACTGGTCGTGGCTCAGCTCTGGGGCGGAACCTGTCTCAGGACAGGGTGTTGCCGTCCTTGTGAATACAGCATATGCAGACACGGCAGTCCTGCGAACCAGGGAGATTCGAGTTGGCCGCATTCTTCAGGTTCAAATGCCTGTCAAAGATGACAAACAAGGACGCCTTCTCAATGTCGTGTGTGTGTATGTGCCTTCTAAAGTTTCAGAATCACAGTATGTCTATGAGAAACGTGCTGCTGTTTGGTCGGCGCTGGATAAGTTTCTGGCATCTGTACCAGCTCGTCATTTCTTATGCGTTGCTGGTGATTTCAACACGGATCTCCAACAGGATGCGCCCTTTGTGGGTTGTACATTTCAATGGAAAGGGCACTCCCGTGCCCCAGCCAGGGACCAATCCACTTTCCAAAATCTGTTGCGTGCCCACTCCTTGCATGCTATGAATACTTGGAAGCATGAGGCGACGTATCTTGACCACCAAGGAAGCAGATCACGCGTCGACTACATCCTGACGAGGTCCAACACTGCCAAGGGACACAAATCTGAGACGATGCCTCAGCTACACTTTGCTTCGTGGCGGGAGGGTGGCAGACACCTCGCCCTGATTGGGAGGATTGATCTCACGTCATGGCGGAATCTCCGCTCCCGTGAGGTCAACAACTTTCAATACGATAAACTTGCCTTGGTGCGTGCCTGTCAACCGGGGCCTGAACAAGATCGACTGAAACAGGCGTTGGTGCCTCATCTATTGCTGCTTTATTCTGGACCCCCACCGAGTCGCGTGGAGGCCCTGCTCCGTCAACTGTGTGCTGAAACCTTTCCGGCAAAGCCAGCGACTTCTAGCCTACAATGGCAAAATCCGGAGGTGATGCATGATTTGGAGCGGACATGGACGATAAGGCGGGCGATTGATGCAACTCGCATTGCACCCTTGCCTCTACTGCGCAAGGCGTTTCAGATATGGAGACTCAAGAAGCAACTACGTCTGAGGGTGAAGGAGCTCAAAAAGGCCAGTCGGCAGAGACGGAGGAAGCACTGGACTCAACAGCTGGAGGAGGCCGAGAAGGCACGGGATGCCAAGGATGCGTATCGTTTCTTCCGTGTCATTACGACTTTGGCCCCTAGGAGGCCTATGGAGCGGGTTCAATTGCGTGATGAGCAAGGACGCATTATGACGCCGGAGCAGGAGGACAAGGCCTTGGCGGCCTACTGGAACACCATCTACGGCAGGCCCACCGTGAAACAGCGAGCCTGGACTCTACAGGAGGGAATTTCCATTCGACAGGAGGAAATCTACCAGGCTCTTCGTCAGCTGAAGGCTCGCAAGGCGGTCTCGCCAGGGCTTGCTCCGGCAGCGGCCTGGAAGGCGCTGGCGGCAGAGATGTCAGAGTATTTAGCCGGATTTGTGCAGCAGCATTGGCAGCAGCTCTTGCCAACTTCCTGGACCACCACGTCGCTGATTTTCCTGCCCAAGGCTGGAAAGACCATTAAACAGCCCAAGGACTTACGTCCCATTGCTCTACAGTCGGCGGCATCCAAGGCGATCACGACCGTCGTGAAGTGGCGGATTACACCATCCTTCCTGGAGGCTATGCATGTTCTTCCTCAGTATGCCTATGTTCGGGGGCGCAGTACGGTGGAGGCGATAGCGAGAGTGGCTGCACATTGCTCCTCTGTCCGACGTTTGGTCAAACAGCAGTCCATGACCATTCACGACAAGTTTGCGGGAGCAGTTTCTAAGGAGTGTGTGGGAGGGGCCCAGCTGAGCATTGACTTGTCGAAGGCCTTCGATTTGCTGCCTCGTAGTGTGTTACAGGAAATTTTGTCCACCACCGACCTCACGGCTGACGAGCAGGCGCTGATTATGCAGTGGCATCAGCAAGGCCGATATCGCATTCGGAGTCGTGGCAGTGAGGAAGCCCAACACATTGATCTTCAGTGTGGTGTTCGTCAAGGGGATGTGCTATCGCCGTATCTCTGGGGGTTGTTTACTGCTTACTTGGCGAAGGCCTTGGATGCAGAGAATGGAAGCGGCTGGACTGCCAGCAATGGTACCTTGTACGCTGATGATATGCACTACAAATGGGAATTTTCCAAAGTTGAACACATGCAAAAGATGCGACAGGATGTCCAAAATATCTTTGCTGTCCTCCGACGACTGGGTATGCAGGCCAATCCGGAGAAAAGTGCATTCCTCATCAGTGTGCGGGGCACGCAGGCGAAGAAATGGGTTCGTCGCTTTGTTCGGAAAGACAAACAACAGGTGCGCCACTTTCACTTCGGAGGTGGAATAGATGACCGGGTGCCGGTTGCTGAGTCCTTTACCTATCTTGGGGCGGTCTTGTCTTACAACAACTTTGAACTGGAGACCATGAAGCACAGGCTGGGGGTGGCGGCAGGCCACCATGACAGGCTTCGAAAGATCCTGCATGCCAAGCGGGTTCTCAGTGTCAAAGTGCGATATCGTCTGTGGCAGGTAATGGTACAGACAGCGCAGTTGTACGCCTTGGAGGCAGTTGGGGTTACACCGGAAGGCGCCAAAATGTTGCATGTACAAACCCTGAGACATCTACGTGGAATCTTCGGCTCGGCTAGACATGTGGATGGGCTCTCAGATCATGCGTTTCTCAGCAAGTATGATTTGCCGGACAGCACATATGGTTCGCAGGCGCAGTGCTACGCTGTGTGACAGGCTGAAGGATCAGACCCTAGATCCACCGTGCTTTGATAGAGTCTCCATCTTGGCGTTTGCTACGGCAATTGAAGCGGCTCTACCTGAGGCGTACGTGGCCAAGACCAGAATGGAGCCCTCTAAAGATGTGGCGATGGCCTTTGCTTGTAGCCAGTGTGATCTCCGATTTGGAACGCTGCATGACTTGAAGACGCATGAGGGAAAGGCGCATGGAATCATCAAGGCCCGAGTGGAGGTGACCAAGAACGAGCACGGCATCAACGGCATGCCAATCTGTCGACATTGTGGGGAAAAGTTTTCTAAATGGAACACTCTCTCCAGACATGTGGCCAGGCAAGGCTGCCCGGCTCTTCAACAAGGACAGGTGGACGCTGCGGTGAAGGCGATGCTCATCACTGAACAAAGGCCTGCTTTGGAACGTCCGGAAGTTGTCAGTTGCATCAAGCAAGAGGGTTGGGCTGGTCTCCTGCAAAACAAAGCTTTGTGTGCTGAGCTCAAACAGCGCTGTGCAGTGTGTTACCAATGGATCGTGGCAACGAACGGCATTCGCTCACATATCCGCAAGGAGCATGGCACTTCTTTTCAGCAACATGAGGCTACGATCAAACAACACCAAAAACTTTGGAGACAAGCCATACAGTCCCCGTGCCAAGTGTGTGGTGCAGCGGTTGTTGATCGGCCTCAGCATGCAGGCTCCTGTTCCGTTCTGCTTCAGCTGATGTACATGTCACTACTGCTTGTGGGACATTGCAAAGAGGGCACACCCTTGGCAGTGACAGGATCCGGTGAAGCAGGAAATGGAACTCTTCGGCAGTCTTCTGCCAGCCTTCGGGGGGAAGCCGGCGGAGGCGGTGGAGGGGCAATCCAGCGCAGCGGCCAGGCCCAAAAGACGACGAACGCAGGACGAAAGCTCCAACTCGAGCAAGGGAAAGGGTGGTGGGAAAGGTGGAGGAAAAGGGAAGAAGAAGGACGGCAAGGATCTGCAGCTCAAGGAGGTGGTGGCCATACTGTCCTCTCTAACTCTGCAGCATGTGGATCAGGTGAGCCGCATCCAGCTGGACACAGGCTTCCTGATGACGATGAAAAACACTGATCAGCCGGAATGCATGCTACCGGTGATGTTCAAAATCAGTGCGGAGTGGAAGCGCATCAAAGCCGAGGAACCCCAGAAGCTGGACAAGCCGCTCCGGGTCACGATGATGGTATGCCTGCTCAACGAGCTCAAAGCCAGGGCCCTCAAGGAGTTAGGTCAGGGTATGCCCCACTTTTTTTTACACCCGCTCAACCCTCATTCGTTTTTTCCCTAGGGGGGGATATACGTTTTCAACATTTCAATAATTTTTTGCTCATTTTTGACATCCGATCCTCAACCGTTCCTCGCAAAAAATCTCAATAAAAAATCAATAATTTTATGATAAAAAATATTAAAAATTTCATCATAAAATTTTCCAAAATTTTCATAAAAATAATATTTCAAAATTTTCATCATAAAAATCTTTCAAAAAATGTTTGTTGAAAAATTGCATTTTGTAAAATATCTTTGTAAAAAATCCTTGTAAAATTTGTTTCACAAATTTCAGCATAAATTTTTATCAAAATTTATTGTAAAAAATCTTTGTAAAAAATCTAAACATATTTATCGCCCTCCTTTACAACCTTGTAATATTCCATTGTTTCCGGTTTAGGCTGTAAAATTGCTCCTTCGTTTAATTTCTTGATATAGGCGTTTCTTTTGTTTGTATATGATGCTTCGGTATTTAAATTGCTTGTTCTGGATTTAGGTTTTTCACTAATAGCCTCAATTTTTTCTAACATCAAATCCATTTTACGATGCACCTCTGAAATCATATCATAAACCTTTTCATTAAATTCTTGCGCTTCTTCCTCCTTCGGTTTTTCTACTATGGTTTCCTCTTTAACCACCTTGGTTTTACTAACCGGCATATATACAATATAATATAAAAGTTTTTTTTAAAACTAAATCTTTTTAAAACTTTTCCTTGTCGCTCATACAGCAGTTGCACTTTTTGCAATATGCTATGCAGTTGCTTATCGTGTGAGTTTGGTCGTTAAATTTTCTTTGCGCCGTCAGGTTCGTTCTTATATTTCCGTTTATTGACGTTACATAAAAATCTACATTGCATAATTCGCACCTTCCATTCAATCTATCTAATAACCAATCTGCTGTAATATAGTTTTTATGGTCGATTTTCCTTTTAGCTTTTCTGTCTTGCTCCTTATATCCCTCTACCTTTCTTTTCAAATAGTTGTAAATACAGTTTTTATTAAAATCGTCGTCATCATCATCATATTTATAAAAGCTCACATTATTTAAATCAGTTGCCCTCGTGATCGCTGTCCATATCCAATTCTTATCTACCAAACAATGGTTGTAATCAAATATTGTTATACCTCCTTCGATGCTGGAACCTTGGACACTGTGGCAGGTATAACAATAATTAAATATAAAATGCTTCCTCAACATATCTAACGGCAATTTTTGTATTTTCTTATCGTGCTCGTCTTCCAACACCACCATATTTTCAATGATGTTTAAAATCTTGTATTTAAAATTTACTTGAAATTTATATTCTGTTGATTTTAAATACTCTCTGCATATCATCACCTCACCTACTTCATACTCGCCCTTTCTATTCTGCTTTTTTCTTATTTGGTTTGCTACTTCCTTGCAGGTGTCGTTCAAATATGCTACATTATTTTCGTTTAGGTTCATATCGGAAGTGTATTTGAAATATTTTTCTACTAACTCTCTGACCTTAATATTATTTTCAAAAATGTCAATATAAATATTTTCTAATTTTTTCCTGTCTTCCTCTTTTCTTAACCTCTTACAAACTTTCAAATAAATATTATATTTAAAAATTTTATCCACACAATTATCAGCATATTCTTCGTGCTCTTGTAAATTTGTTAATTCCGATACTGGTTTTAATTGCTTACCATCTCCTGTTGCCACTATTATTTTATCTTGGTTGTTTTCAACAAACTCCCTAATTCTATTCAATACCCTTAAACCATTAAAATAAATCTCGTCAAACACTATAACATCATAACCGGAATAATCAAACTTTTCTAACTTCTCGTCCCCGACTGCTATGGAAAAAAACTTATTAACTGTTACCGCTTCCTTTCCGTATTTTTGGACTAGCTTATTTGTAGGACATACAAATAAAACATTCATTCCCATTCGCGCCATTTTTTCACAAATATAACTTTTTCCGGATCCTGCATATTTTGCCCTGATCATAACGTGTTTAGCGCTAATAACTTTTTCTATGATATTTGTTGTATCATATTCGTCCTTAATTTTTATTGCTGTATTCTTGTAGATGGGGATTTTATCCAGTTCGTTCTTTTTCCTTTGATATGTTTCACTCGGCAGTTTTACTTCCTCTCCTTCTTTATTCGTTCTCCATTCTCCGATACCAGCTTTCATTTCTAATACTTCCTTTGCTTTTTCCACATCTTCGGATTTAATAACAAATGCATCTGTTTTTACACTGACTGCCTTTATAGAATTTTTCCTCAATTTATTATAATCCTGACACATTTTAAAATTATGATCTTGAAGCAACAGCTCCTTTATGTAAATAAAACCGTTGTTTAATGTTGCCTTGTCTGAAACATTAACTAAATAATATTCCATACCTTCTTCTTCGGTTGTCTGTATTTGTATAGAAAAATCATCATTTTCTTTATCACCTTCATAAGTTGTTTCGTTTCTACATTCCATTTCTGTTATTTTGTGAATTTTACCTCCGTGCCTTACTTGAAAATCCGATGCCTCCCTAATGTTCTTAAAGACGATGCTTTTTTGATCAGTGCTACCCGTTTTTTCCAAAAGTCCGATATTGACATTTACAATAAGTTTTTTAATCAGTTTATCCAGTTCCTCTTCGTCGCTAATATTTTTGTTCCATAATTCTTTTACATAATCGTTATAATTTACCTCGTGAATAAAGGATGGTGTCTTATAATACAATATGTTCAGTTTATTAGTGTCAATTTGTTTCAAATATTTTCCATAAATCAGGTTATACCTCTTGTTAAACATTAAAAAGGTGCTGGGTTTTACAATTCCACAGTGGCTACAATCTTCAACGAAAAATAAAGTGTAGTCTGACATCGTGTTAAAATCCATCTCTTTAAACCATTTTCTCCAAACATCGAACTGATTGAAAACCGGCACCTGTGTAATCCCTACTAGTCTGCTTGTGTAAGCTTTGGTTATGTCAATCTCGGTTAGGTTTTTTGGTATGGAACCCTTGTCTGTGAAAAGTCCTGCTGGCGGTATGGTTTTTGCTTCGTGGTAAATTTCCAAATCCACTTTGTTATAAAACGACTTGTGCAATGGATTAAACAGACTCTTGTTAAAATGAAACATTGCATCGTTCATATTGTTGTATGTTTTTTCGTTATCAACTGCGATACATCCATCAGACGAGTCTTTAATCAGATTTTGGGTTTTTATTATAAAGGTGGTTTTTTTAAGTTTCATTTTTATTTGTGTTATGATGCCTGCTTGAAATCTGATCTGTGGCTCATATCTAGCATTCACTAGTTCAAAAAATATCTCTGTCAAATTGTTTAACTCGGGCACTAAATGAATAGTTTTCGGCTCTTTATCTTTACTGACCATTTTTAAAATGTCGTGTGTGTCTCTGAACATTTTAAACTCGGGTGGCTCTTCTTTTTCGTTTAAATGGTAGTCCGTGGAGGCTTTCACCAGTGGTCTTTCTTCTTCTTCGTTTTGTTTATGTTCTATACTTTTTAGATCGTTATTTATGGTGTATATATGGCTGTTTTTTACTATGGCATAAAACGGCTTTATTCTTCGTTTGTTGTGCTCGGGCTCGTGTTTGTAAATCAGTTTGTTGAAGCTGTTGTAAATTCTAGCTGGTATTTTGAATGCCTTAAATACCTTATCCATTTCTTCAATACTCGCTCCATTGCTGTAAAAATCGCTTCTGCCTATAATTTCAATAATTTTTTCTCTGGTCAGTTGGTTCCTTTTGCCATAGTCCATTAAGGTATCACGGTAAAAATCGGATAGTGAATTTATCCAACATTGATTTTCTACGTGTGTGCTATTTTCAATTGCTTGTCTCAATGTTGTTAAGTTGCTGTTAAGGTCTGTGTAAATATAGCGGTGATACATCGATACGTGTTGTATTCCATCAGTTAGGCTTTCCTTCATTATGTCAAATTTCTCACCGCTTTTACTGATTTGTTCCACCTGTTGAATTTTGATTGCATCAAAAAGATTATCGTAATGTTGCATTAGTTCTTTTACTAAATTATCAAAGTCTTTATCTTTTCTTAAAATGTCCATTATTTCTTCAAATTCTTTATCTACCCTCCTTGGATCTTTACCTTTAAAACTTTCTTCGTCAACAAATCTAAATATTACCTTTTTGATCCAATCCTTATTAAAATCCTTTGCTTTGACAGTAGCCTGTCTTATATCAAACTTTTCTATGTAAAATTCCATTCCGAATTTTTTAAATGCTGGTTTAATGATGTTTCTAGGGTGTCGTGTTGTGTAAAGTTGAAAGTTCACCAAATAAGTATTCATACCTTTCTTTTCGGCTATTCTTTCGTTTAGTGGTTTTGACTTTTTAAGGTCTTTAATTTGTTCGTTATACTTGTCCCTCGCTTTTTCTGCTGTTCTTTTATTGGTGCTGGTAAGGTTTTTTATGAAGTTCTCGGCGGTTGCTACATTTGCAATTTTCCTATCCTTGTAAAGTGATACGATCTGATTTAGCCTGTTTTTTGTTGCTTGTGTGATTTTGTTCGCGCTATTTATTCGCTCCTGTTTCAGTTTGTTCAGTTTCCTGACGTTGCTCTCTACAAACTTGTTCATACTATAACCTATATATTAATATTTATATATTATTTTTTCTTTAAACCATTTTTAAAGAAAAATTTTTATAATAAAATTTCTATATATTTTTTTAAAGTTTTAAAAGTTCAAATCTTAAATATGGTCGGCTGTTGCCCTTTACATAAAAATTACTTTGGTTGTTCCTTTCCTCTATTCTTTCTACTTCATATGTTTCCTTGCTCCATAAACTGACCCTTTCTTTTTCTCCAATTTTCCTTTTCCTGTAAATTTTAACTTTACTGCCCACCGATATCTCGGGATACTTTCGGGTTCTGGTTGCTTGTCTGGTCATATTTTGTTTTGCCTTCAATTCGTTCTTTTCCTTCATTGCTTCCTTCGGTGTCATTTTTATAGCTGAATGTTCCATTTTGTTATTGTATGTTAGTAAAATTTCAAAAATAT